TTTGGGGAAAAGGGTATACTGTGTGATACACTGTGACACATAGCAGTTACCACAGTGAGATTTTGTTATGTTTTATTTTTTATTTTCTTTATGGGGGAAGCAAAGGAGGAGGGTGGATGTGGAAGGACTGGAAAATGAGTAGGATTGTGATGCATGATTTCAAATTCACAAAATCAATATTTTTTAATTTACAATTCAAAATAAAATAAAAAAACAGTACACTAGCAAAAACAATGGCTTCTGCCCTGTGAAGCTACATGATCCTGATCAAGTTGTTAAAATTCTCTCAACCTAGTTTTCTCTTCCATAAAGTGAAAACAAAATGGGATACTGTACATAAGTACATGGCATAGGAATTTGGCTCAAATTGTAGCTGAAGAACCAAAATTCCTCCATTTTGTCCTCCACCTCCATCTTGTGCCTTCTGTAAGCTATTTCCCATAAAATATTTCAGTCCTCAGAAATGGCTAGGGGCAAAAGTAACAGTGTAGCCATCTGGAGAGTACAAATAACCGCAGAATGTCCCCACCTGAAGGTCAGAGGACAAGCAACAGGTGTGGTTGGAAAACAAAATTTCTGCGAAGTCCATAAACACAAGCTAATGAGGATTGAATCTGTCACCCAAAACCCTGCTAAGTTGGTCTCCCTGGTGGTTTTCTGGGGTCCCCATGGACTGGGAATAACAGTAGCTAGTAGTTGTAGTAGTAATAGATATATTAACATGTACGTATCTCACACCTGGAAAGTTGATACCACACAGTAATTGCTCAAGTGCTCAGTGAATCAGCTACTTCCCTACACACTAGGTGTAATGATCTGTGCTACCCCTTTTAAGAGATAAGCCCCACCCATTCCCTCTCTTGTCTGCTGAGGCAGGCAGATCTTCCTTCCTGCTTGCAGCCTGAGTCTCTTTTCCATGTCTTCCCTGAAGAAGCAGCTTCTGCCTTGCTTCATTCTCTCCCCACTTCTCCCCTTCTCCCTTCTGTCTCCCTCACCTCTCTCTCTCTCTCTCTCTCTCTCTCTCTCTCTCTCTCTCTCTCTCTCTCTCTCTCTCTCTCTCTCTCTCTCTCTCTGCCTCTCTGCTCTTACCCCCTTCTCCCCTTCCTCTCCATAACCCACTAAAAAATATACAACCTCACTCTGCATGGTGTGCCTATCAGTCTGTCTCTTGCCCACCATGTAGCTCCCTGCCCGGGACCAGCCGCCTTCATAGACCAGCACTGTGGTCTCGTGGCATGCCCATCTGTCTGTCTCTCCTTGTGGCCTACTGCAGCCATTCAGGGAACTGCGCCATCCCTGCCTGGGACTGGCTGCTCTCCAGACCCGCTGCCCACTGCCTCTGTTTGGGGACCTGCAGCCTTTCTGCCACTGCAGCTGCCGGGGATCCGCAGCATTTTTATGTTTACCATTACACTAGGTACAACCTACAGTAAAACATATAGAGAAAACAGAGATCTGAGGCTGGGAGTGAAGTGGTACCCATATCAGGGCTCCAGAGCCTGAACTGTCAGTTTATGTTTTATGACTTCCTCACTGATGTTTGCCTGGATGAATATAGGAATTTGCAGATTATCTAGTGTAATCCCATTATTTCAAGATTTCAACAAAAGGCCAGAGACCCCAAAAATGTTTTCCAAGACCAAGGAGTTAGCTAGGGAGTACAGTTCAGATCACCTAATTCCCAGTTCAGTGCTTCAGTGCTGAAGAAATAAATGGATGATAGCCTTCCTTCCTTTCTCCCCCCTTACTCTCTTCTATTCTCCTCTCCTCTTCTTCTTTTATGTATTTAATATTTTTTTTGAGATGAAGTCTCTAGGCTGGATTTGAACTTGCTGTATAACCTCAAAGCAGCCTTGAAACCTTAATACTTCAAGTATGGGAATTATTGTAGTTTTCTTTAAAAAAAAAGTTACTCTATTCCTAGTTCACTAAGTATGCTCTACTTTCCCAGAATCCATCACTAGGCAATATATACTTCAGCAGGAGGAATATAGCCCTGTGGGCCTATTCCCAATTCACAAATAATGGTTGATGGGTCCAGTTCTATCTTACCTAGGTACATTGCAGGCAGCCATAGCTGCTGTGAGATCATAACTACATTGCTGTGTCATGTCCAGAAGTCAGCATTTCACAGCCCTTTTACCTATCGTTTGTCTCTGATATTCTTTCTATCCCCTCTTCAGCAATGATCCTTACAATTTAGAAGGGGTAGTTTAAATATCTTTTTTAGAGCACTCTACTTTTACTTATTTTCTGCACCTTGAGCATTTAGCCCCTTTCATTGCAAAAAGCTTCTCTGATTAAGGCTGGAAGTAGCATTTGTTTATGAGTATAAACATAAATATTTATAAGATAGCTTGGCATTGTGACAGTTTATCTAAACAAGAGTTCACTCCTAGGACCTAAGACCTCAGAAGCTATGGGTTTTTGACTGGTATCACTTTTTCCAGGAAAACACCCAAGTGGTAACTTACTGCAAAGGCATCCAGCAATTACAGGTAAAGGTACAGAGTACCAAATGTTTTCAACAAGGACAGTGTGCATTCCATGCTATTTGAAAGACTGTGCCAGCACCAACCTCAATGGCAAACAAAGTGTGCTGACAGCCCAAAACTTGGTAATGTGGGGTACAAATTTTAAAGTCGACCCTACCTCATTTCTGGAATGTCAAGTATGACCTTTGAAAAAGAATTCAGGTCATTCATTCTAAAGCAATAAGGATAGTTAAATGAGCCCCAAGTAGCACAGGATATTATTGTTTACGTACAACTCTATTCCAATGACTGTGGGAAAGGGAGCCAAATTCCACAAGTTCCTTACTTGCAAGAGGTGTTTTGCAAAAGAAAAGGCCAGTATTGCTGCTTGTCCTTTTCTTTCTTAAAGTCAGCTTTATTTGAAAGTGTAAAGAAGCATTATCTTCAGAATTCAAGTAACAAAATTGGATGGGGAGACACAGCAGGTTGTTTTACTGACAGTTAATTTAAAGACATAAAAGTTAAAAGAATATCACATTTGCCTAAAACAAAGAATATCATAGGGCTGGGCAAAGGTAAATTATTAATTTATCAATAACTAAAATGAATTTCTGAGTGTTTTAATTGAAAAGGCAATATTATAGAACAAGGCAGGGTGCTTTCTATAGAAAAAAATCAACACTTAAAATTACAATGGCACTTTTTCTCCTAAAAGTATCACAAAATACATTTGTTATCTCCCATTGTTACTGCTGGTTAATGTCTGCTGCAGGTGTATATGATTGATGGAAGAGGCCTGTCTCCATATCCAGCCATATATTTCCATGTCAGAAGTGTCATAACCTACTCCCCCAAGCACAAGTCATCTAAAATAGGTTTGCACATGTTCAGGAAACATAAGTGCGCAGTGTAAGGAGCATAAATGGACTTGTTTGTGTCTTACTACAATGTCATAAATTATTACCTAGCAATAAATTCATGGGTTATTTTAGTTTCTTTGGCTCTGATTTGCCAAGCGGTTCTAATTTTCCCAATAGTTGACTAGGACAAATTCAGGTACTTTTACTCTAATTTTAACTACCAATATTAATTCTCAGGTCACATCAAATACTATATACTCTGTCTATGTATCTAGCATGTGTGTATTACAGAATGGCTGCAAACGAGCTAAAGAAGGTGAAATAGAGTCCCAACGAGGTCAAATTGGAAACAAGTAGAAATCTGACAAGCACACAAAGAGAGTCAGTAAAGTGGTTACATAATAGGGTCTTTAATAGTGAAAAATGTTTTCAATTTTGAAAGTTTACTTTGATGCATTACAACACATACTTACTTTTATGGATTTTATTGTGAATAGAAAGAATCATTAACCAAATCCCAGACCTAGAAATTTTCCTATAGTTTTGAAGGATTTATACTTTACTTTTAGGTCCATGATCCACGTAGATCTAATTTGCTTCAAAAGTTAGTCTGTACCAATAAACAGGAGACAAGAACACACAATTTACTTCTCCAAAGGAAAAAGCATTAATATCAAGCAAATACCAATTCATCTTATGTATTGCCTGAAGAATGCAAAATTACAACAATAACAACTCATAGTTTGTATTGGTTTTGTGTTTTGGTGACAAGGTCTTGCTGAGTAATACTGGCTGGCCTGAAACTCACTATGTAGATCAGGCAGGCTTTGAACTCAGAAATCTGCTTGCCTTTTTCTCCCAAGTGCTGGGATTAAAGATGTGTGCCACCACAGGCAACATCAAGTAGTTTTTTTCTTTCATGTTCAACAATACAAAATTTTGTAAGAAGCTTTATTCCTTTTTTTTTAATCCACACATTGTAATTGTATATTTACAGGGAACAGTGTGACATTTCACTACATATATACAATGTGTAAAACAGTTAATTGGAACATGTGTCACCTCAACAGATATTTTTGGGTTGGGATCATCCAAAACCATTTTTAGCAGCTACTTTAAAATATAAAATTCATTGCTATTAACCATAGTTACTCTACCATTCTGCAGAACATTACAACACAGTTTTCTCATGCAGCAGAACCCTGTGCAGTTAGCTTTTCTTTGTCTCTCTTTTTTATTTTTTTTATTGAAAAAAAAATTTCCGCCTCCTCCCAGCCTCCCATTTCCCTCCCCCTCCTCCCACTCCTCTCCCCCTACCCCCACTTTTCTCCCCCTCCCTCTCCAGTCTGAAGAGCAGTCAGGGTTCCCTGCCCTGTGGAAAGTCCAAAGTCCTCCCCCCTCCATCCTCGTTTAGGAAGGTGAACATCCAAACTGGCTAGGCTCCCACAAAGCCAGAACATGAAGTAGGATCAAAACCCCGTGCCATTGTCCTTGGCTTCTCATCAGCCTTCATTGCCCGCCATGTTCAGAGAGTCCGGTTTTATCCCATGCTTATCAGTCCCAGTCCAGCTGGCCTTGGTGAGCTCCCAATAGATCAGCCCCACTGTCTCCGTGGGTGGGTGCACCCCTCGTGGTCCTGACTTCCTTGCTCATGTTCTCCTTCCTTCTGCTCCTCATTGGGACATGCAGCACATATACTAAAATTGGAACGATACAGAGAAGATTAGCATGGCCCCTGCGCAAGGATGACAAGCAAATTCTCAAGTAGTTTTTTTTAAAAAAAACAAATTAGTGAAAAAGCTAAACAATTCATCCATCATAATTCTCCATACTCTGCACTTGGTTCACAGAATTTTTATTGTTGTTATTCAGGTATAATTAGGGCAACAGATCAAGAGGCTATTTACAGCTTCCATGAGAACTAGGCACACACCAGGCCATGTCATACAAAGGCTACATGAAGATTCACTGAAGTCAGTTAGGAAGTAAAAGGAACAGAGGAAAGCCTGGATAATAGCCTTTATTGAATTTTTCATGGGAAGAAATGGTAGACATGGAAGGCCAGCTAATTAGGCTTAGAATTAGATGGGTAAATACTGTCGGTGATCTTTGGGCTACAGGGCGTAGTCATCAGTTGCTATTATCTGAGCAAGCTGACAGTGTTCTAGAATGCAGAAACATGATAAAAGTGAAGTGGAGATAGAGCTATGGGATAATGATTATTAGTTGGTTTGCCTATCAAGCAAGTTTTTATCTGTAAGAATCAGCTAGCTTCGGGAGGAACAGCTTTGTCCTGCATCCACAAGGCCCTAAGATGTCAAAGCAACAGAAAAAATGCCTGAAAATGTCATGTTTTATTAAAAACAGTTAATAAACATGGTGTTGTGGGGATAGACATTTTGATACTGAAGTGATTAATATATGTCTTTGTAGTTATTATGCCTTGAGGTTTCCCAAAAGCAATAAATATGCAATTGGATCTTCTCTCATAACGGAGGGATATTTACTATCTAGGAAGTACATTTTCAGGATCTTCTGGCCACAATATATCAAAGATACTGTTGTAAATATAAAATAAAGCCAACCAACAATAGCAATTGGGCAAACTAGAAGAAAGAAAGCCAAGTATATAGAAAGTGAAATTTCCTCAGTCTTCCAGAGTCTCCAAGGTATCATTTACTTTTGGCCTACTAACCACTGTGCCTGAACAGGAAGTTTGAATTTAACAGAAACCACATGAGGCTAAGCCTCCATCATCAATTTCTCTAAAATGACACAGACTGCCCCTTCCCTATAACACTGGCTTTTCAGTCCTTATACATACAGTCCATCTCTTGGGGGAAATTCCTAGTTTCTGGGTACTAAATGCATGACAGGCAATGATAGAGGAAGAATCAGGTTTAAGAGACCCTGAGTATCGCACTCAAATAAATATGGAAAATGATATGCACTTTGTTTTAATTACTACACTGTTTGCTATTTCAAAATATTGGAAACAACTGAAATGCCCGTAAATTAAAGATCAAATAATCTGATATATATGCTCAATGGGGTTCTAACAGCTGCTTTAAAAATTAAAAGATCACTATGAAGTGAGAGTTATATAAATGAATAAAGCAAACTGAATGGTATTAAGTCTAAAAACTTTCATTTATCATGGGTTTGATCATACTCTTGCACAGTGTATGCACAAGTCAGAGGACAATTTTCAGGAGCCGTTTCTCTCTTACCATGTGGGCTCTGGGGAGTGAACTTTGCTTTTTACGCTTGGCAGCAAATGCTTTTTCCTTCTAAGCCATCTCTTCAGCCCTGAAAGAATTTTATGGTGCACCATCATTTCTGTAGGATAAAAAGGGACCCAAAAGGTGGAGGTGGATGCAGAGGCAATGGCAAGCATGAGAATCAGAGTTAAGATTTCCAAAATCTATGTTAATTCCCAGTGGTCTCAGTGGCTCACCAGTAATTCCAATGTTGGGAGGCAGAGACAGGGTAATCTGACAAGTAAGAACAGTCATATCAATGGATTGATTTAGAGACTCTGCCTCAATAAGATGAAAGAGCAGTTGGTGATGATTCCAAACATCAGCTTTGGGATTCCACATACTTGTGAACATACACTCACACATGTATTCAAACCACACCAACATACACACCACACACATGGAATGGAAAAAGTAAAAAAGAAAAAGAAAGAAGGAAAGAGGCATGCACCTTCTCATATGTACAAATATAAAAACATAAACTATAAAGCAGAAATGAATGTTCTTATATTCCGTAGGGAATAAGCATAGACAACGGAAAGAAAAGTGGAGGTGAGATGAATGTATATTAGGCTTGAGATCGCTGTTTGGGCAAAGATATTAAAACAAAGAAAGAGGACCAGCAATATGGCTCTCTCAATGGGTAAACACACTTGACACTAAGTGTGCCCACACCTGACTTCAATTCCCAGTACTCACATTATAAAAGGAGAAAACAGACTCCCCAAAGTTGTCTTCTGACCTCCAAATGGGAACACACACACACACACACACACACACACACACACACACACACACATGCACGCACTAATGAATACACTAATGAATAAATAAAAACATTTAGTTGGAGGAAGTCTAGAATAAACCTTGAGCCATTAGGTTGAAATTAGAAGTAGAGTGTGAACAACAGAAGGGCACATGCAAAAATCTGTGGGCAAAGTACAAGTGTCCACCCACAAGATTCTTACTAATTACAAGGGTGAAGGCATAGCTCCATAGTGGAGTAATCGGACAGACATTTCTTTCAACAAGTGACTAAAATTGAAAGCACCAATAATAAAACTCTTAGATTTTTTGCTCTGTTCACAAAACCTCTTTTTAATAAATAAATTGACTTATACTTGAAAAATACTTCTGGAAAAAAATCCTTCTTAGTAATTTGTGGGTTCTATAGTGGTTGTGTTTTTTTTCTGTGAACTTTTGCCTCTCTATATTCTTTCCAAATATTTCTCAATTAATTTATGAGTGCACATTTTACTGAGGAATTAGTATCTGAACAAAATGTAATTCAATGAACACAAAACATTTTTCTGAAAGAGCATCCATATGAAAGAGCCCTTGATATGATCCCCAGACCTCTAGCTAATTGGCAGTAATGAAGTTGTCAGGAAACAGCATCTTCTACAGATTGTTCTCTTTCAATAATTGATTGTTAGTCATGTGCCAAATACTCAGAGAAAGTTTTTTTTAAAAAAAATACATTACATACTTTTATTTTATGTGCTTGGAGGGTTTTGCCTACAAAAAAAAAATGGTACATATATGCACCATGTGTACCTGCTGTCCTTAGAGTCCAGAGGGTGTTGGAGTCTCTGGTATTGGACAGTTATGAGCTGCCATGGGAGTGCTAGGAGCAGAACGTCTGGAGAAACAACATCTGTCCTTAACTGCTAACCCAGCTCTCCAGATCCTCAGAGGAAATTTTTCTTTTCTTTTCTTTTCTTTTCTTTTCTTTTCTTTTCTTTTCTTTTCTTTTCTTTTCTTTTCTTTTCTTTTCTTTTCTTTTCTTTTCTTTTCTTTTCTTTTCTTTTCTTTTCTTTTCTTTTCTTTTCTTTCCCTTCCTTTCCCTTCCCTTCTCTTTTTGTGTTTTTCTTTTACTTTGCCATAATTTTGATGCTTATTTTTTGATACAGCATTTTTTTCCTATGTAGCCAGCAGTCCTGAAACTCACTCTGTAGACCAGGCTGGCCCTGAACTCAGATATCTGATAGTCTCTGTCTCTCAATAGCTGGGATTAAAGGTGTGGGTTACCACCATCTGGCCTCCTCAGAGCAAATTTCTTTTTTGTTGTTTTTATTGAGCTATATATTTTTCTTTGCTCCCCATTCTTTCTCTCCCCTCCCCTTCTATCTTCTCTCATTGTACCCATGCTCCCAATTTACTCAGGAGATCTTGTCTTTTCTACTTCCCATGTGGATTAGATCCATGTATGTCTTTCTTAGGTTCTTCTTTGTTGTCTAGGTTCTCTGGAATAGTGAACTGTAGGCTGGATTTTCTTTGCTTTATGTCTAAAAGCCACTTATGAGTGAGTGCATATGATATTTGTCTTTTGGGGTCTGGGTTACCTCACTCGACATTATGTTTTCTAGATCCATTCATTTGCCCTCAAATTTCAAGATGTCATTATTTTCTCTGCTGTGTAGTATAGTACTCCATTGTGTAAATGTACCACATTTTCTTTATCCATTCTTTGGTCGAGGGGCATTTAGGTTGTTTCCAGGTTCTGGCTATGACAAACAAAGCTGCTATGAACATAGTTGAGCACATGTCCTTGTGGTATGATTGAGCATCTGTTGGGTATATACCCAAAAGTGGTATTGCTGGGTCTTGAAGAAGGTTGTTTTTTAATTTTTTGAGGAATTGCCATACTGATATCCAAAGGGGCTGTACCAGTTTGCACTCCCACCAGCAATGGAGGAGTGTTCGCTTTACCTCACATCCTTTCCAGCATAAGTTGTCACCAGTGTTTTTGGTCTTGGCCATTCTTACAGGTGTAAGATGGAATCTCAGAGTTGTTTAGATTTACATTTCTATGATGGTGAAGGGTGTGGAGCATTTTCTTAATAATCTTTTGGCTATTTTAGATTCCTCTGTTGAGAGTTCTCTGTTTAATTCTGTACCCCATTTTTTAAATTGGATTATTTGTTCTTTGGATGACCAATTGCTTGGTTTCTTTGTATATTTTGGAGGAGATCAGTCGTCTTTCTGATGTGGGATTTGTGAAAAACTTTTCCCATTTTGTAGGCTGTCGCTTTGTCTTGTTGACCATGTCATTTGCTTTAAAAAAGCTTTTCAGTTTCAAGAGGTCTCATTTATTAATTGTTTCTCTTAGTGTCTGTGCTTCTGGGGTTATATTTAGGAAGTGGTCTCCTGTGCCCATGTTTTGAAGACTACTTCCCACTTTCTCTTCTAGGAGGTTCAGTGTGGCCAGATTTATAGGGAGGTCTTTAATTCATTTGAACTTGAGTTTTGTGCATGGTGATAGATTATGGGTCTATTTTCATTCTTCTAAATGTTGATATCCAGTTATGCCAGCAGCATTTGTTAAATATACTTTCTTTTTTATTTTATATTTTTTGCTTCTTTGTCAAAAATTAGGTGTTCATAGGTGTGTGGATTGATATCTGGGTCTTCAGTTCTGTTCCATTGGTTCTCCTGTCTGTTTTTATGCCAACACCAGCCTGTTTTTGTACTGTAGCTCTGTAGAAGAGCTTGAAGTCAGGGAATGTGATGCCT